CAAACTCCCTTTTCCCCAACCAGAGCTCACCTCTTGCTGTTCCTGGCTTAGCCTGGCTCCAGGTAACTGATATTTCTGTGACTCAAATGGAATAATGTGAAGGAAAAGACTGTGTGGCACATTTAAAGATAGTTTCTACACAGAGCAGGCACTCTCGGCATGAGCCAATGGAATTGTTTGTTCCATCAAAGCAGCAGCACTTTCTAAGCCTGCTGAGGAGCATCCGCAATTCTTGGGTATCTGTAGAATTCAAGTGCCTCCATTAGTCCACAGAAGGAACCTTGATGACCATCTACTCCACCCTCATTTTATAGATGAGGAAATCAAGGAATCCCGGCAAGGTCTTGTGACTTGCCAAGTTGTTGCTGTTTTATTCACCATTCACATAAGGTCTCAACTCCTCAGCTTGGCTTACAAGATCCTTTAGGACCTGACCCAGGTCTCATCGCTGCCCACACCTTTACTTAGCATGACTTACTGACATTGTTCTGCTGGAGAACCATGTATTATGTCAGTAAGCTGGACTCCAGCCATAGTGAACTTCAGTGAGCCCATCTCCCCACCGCTGGGCCTTGGCACATGCACTCCCCTCCCCTTAGAGCATGCCGCCGACCTGCACACCCGTGATGCTTGCTTTACGTGGCTAACTTCTCATCCAGGGTCTCGGCTTCAATGTTCTTTCATCCAGGGAGACTTCCTTGACTCCCGCCTCTCCCCAGAAGTCAACGTTAGCTGCTTCTGCTCTCCATTCCCTTTACATCCAGTGCTTAATCATTCCTCTTATCTCATCTCATTGTAAAATTGATTTAATTTTCTGTCTCTTGCTTTAATTTGTTATGGGCAGGGCCCATATTTGTGTTGCTTACCCTCATATTTCCAGAATATAGCTCAGTTCCTGGAATACAATAGATATTCGAAAAAGACTTGCTGGCTGGCTGGATGGATGGATGGATGGCAGGAAGGGAGGGAGAGAGCAACTGACACTGAATCACTACGTTAAAAGAAAACAATCCTAAGACAATCTTAGGAGTTGATCCTCATGTCTGCTGAGCTATACAAAAGTCTAGATTCAGCTTAGCCTCTGTACTCCCTGGTGTCACCGACATGATCCCATTTTGTCCATACAACAACCTAATGAGGCAGGAAGTTTTATCTACCCTTTGCAGGTATGGAAACGGGCTCAGAGAGGGGAAGTGTGGACTGCAGGCCTGGCCACCATGGCTGTGGTGCTTCTACTTTCCTCTTCACTGGCAACCCCACCCCAGAGTGTCCCAGGCTTGATCCTCAACCCAGTCTGGGCTTCTGCTCTCCCAGCTGGTGAAATGACCTTCATGGTAAAGTGCTACTCTGGGTAGTGTTATCTTGGCTTCATTCACTGCTCTAGCTGGCCAGTGTTATTTCTGGCTGATTTATATTTTCCCTTATGTAAGTAAAGGGGGCGGGATTGCTCCAATAAAATTTTATATGTGTTTCCTGCAAATGGGTAGCACAGTTGATGTATCAAAGGAACTGAGGGCTAGGAACGTCTCGGTGTTCTCCTACCCCCACCCCCAGCGCCCGTCTCCTGACACAGTTACTCTGAGATGGGGAGACATCTTTCTAGCCACACCTTCGTGTTAAAAACGCTGCAGCCAACTAACACCAACTAGAGAACAGTTGATGGCAATTACAGGAATATTAACAACACAAAGTTCTCTTCAAATAGCATTTTTTCCTGACAGAAGCCAAGACATTTGAAACCTGGCTTGTCATTCCGTCCATAATTAGCCTCATTGCACCCTAAATAATTCCCAAAGTGATGAGGGGGTGTGAAATTGCAGCTGAGCTCAGTATTTGCTTTTTTTTTTTTAATATACAGCTAGTGTCACAGCCATACCATTTTCTCCCCTCATGTACTTATAGTCGGATTGTTAGACTTATGCCTAATAGCTGTTCAGAGGAGAGAATGTGACTCGGCAAACTGGCTGTTGTTTCTGCTTCACACTATGGACAAGGGAATAATGACACCCTGTGTCTTTGTGAAAATTCTGAGGTATACTGTCCCCATCATCTTAGTCCCCAAAGAGGACTCATCCTCCTTCATGTCCTCTGCTGCAGAGAAGCCCCCAAATCCATAGATTGTAGATGTTGCTTGTATGATTCATAAGTGTTTAGGTGAGCAATGTTCAAAAATCCATAGTTACAAAGGAATCCAACTGGAAGACATTTATTGTCTTTATAAAGGAATCTGCCATTATAATCCTTGAAATGATAGGCTTGAAAATATGATTTGTATTTCTGGTACTTTTAAAATTTGATACACAGACACTTTACTTATTTGTAACTTTTCGGGAGCATGCTCATTACAGAAAGTGGAGGGAGCTCCATTTTGACGTGGAGATTTATTTCTGCCTCCTTTAGAAATGTGTTCCATTTTATACTCTGAAAAATATAATGCTTTGAACCTGCCTCTCTTTTCCAGTGTTCTCTGTAGGCATTTTTAAAAAATGAATATTGTGCATATTTTTGAAATGGGAAGAATTACATTGTTGAGTTCCCACTATATCAAACAGCATACAGAGATCAGGGAGGGGTTAAGGCTGCAGGACCTAGGGAGGTGGGGTCCTGAAGCAGACCCCTCTGTTTCCTGGGAGGGCCTGTCTCCTTGTCCCGGCTCTGGCCTCAACCAAGATGACTGTGATCCTGATGGAGATGGTGACCCTGGCAGCCTCCCTGGAGACCATCTATGGCAGTGCTTGCCAGACTTACACTTACATGGCAATCACTGAGAGCTTGTTAAGAGTTTCCTGGGCTCCACCTCCAGGGATTCTGATTCAGTAGGTCAGGACTTGCCCATGAACTTGCATTTCTGACCAGCTCACAGGTGATACCCATGCTGCTGGTGTGGGCACCGCTCTTGGAGAACCACTGCTCTAAGAGGTCGAGGCCAGGCTGCAGGGGCTTGTGGAAAGGTTGCTCGGGCTCTGCTGCGCAAAGGTGGGACTACACTTAGTGTCAGGGAGAGGACTGTAGGGAATAGGGTAAAATTTACACCGTTAGAGTCTACCTCTTTCAGCTTTATTTGGCACACAATGGAACTGCAATTTTGACTTTCCACGTTTACCACTGTTTTATGTGATTTTGGTTTAGAAGGAAAATGCTCATGGGCCAATTTTCTAGGAACCAGGGTAGTTATGTTACTCCTGGATTACACCAAATACTGGTCATTTTTAAAAACTGCTTTATTGAACTATAATTTACATAGCATAAAATTCACCCATTTTAGGAGAACAGTTCAAGGATTTCTGGTAAATTTATATTGTGCAGCCATCACCACAGTCCAGTGTTAGAACGTTTCCCTCACCCCAGAAAGTTCCTTCAAGATCTGGTGCTTTTGATTGTTTATGAATTATGTTAACTACATGTTCAAGTACCTTTCCAATGGATAACAATACTTTTCAAAGTCCTCTATATAGTTTTCATTGTTTTAGACCCAATAAATAGGTCACGGGCCACCTGTTTCATTTGTCATTGGTTTGTCTTCATAGAGAAGTTTGTATGCCACTTGCCTAAAATGAAATAATTCAACCAGTGAGTATTATAGCATCTACTGTGCCAAGCATTGCTTTGCCATTGCTTAAAATAATGCTTCATAAGTATACTTCTCATGCTTTAAAAGAGTTCTTCAATAGGTTCTCTTAATTCAGCACCCATTTTGTGACAGGCAGTACGCTAAGGGATGTAAAGATGAATAATACGTGGTTTTTGCCTTCAAGGGGCTCACACCTCTAGGAGATGAGACAAAAATGCAAACTTATAAACATAGTATAATTCTATAATTAAGTCCATAATTATGAATCTTAGAATGGCAGGGTAAATGAACAGCATTAAATCCTGTCATTTTTGTGGCGTATACTGAGTGGCTTTCTTGCTCCAGAAATTGTTTCACTGCCTCAGCTGAACTCTGCCCTCCAAATGTGATGTCTCATGAGGACCTTATCAGAGACAAAACCTTTTCTGTAGAAAACACTGCAACCAGAGCATCCAAGTAAAAGGGTACAGTTTTAACTATGATGGACCCAACAGTGATGCAATGCCTGATGGTCCACATTTCACAGTGAGAATCAACCAATGGACTTAGTCCACAAACACCTACCTGTACTGTGTTTATGTATGTTGGAGCACATTGAAGAAACAATTCCTTGTTTCATTGAGAAGACAGGACTTAACACACAAAGAGGGCAGACGTGCAGAGAGGCATATGGTAAAGTTCTAAATTAGATGTGAGTCATGCCAAAACATCCAGCACAGACGGGAAATGCTGTGGGGAACTGGGCTTGCTCCCCACAAAGCAGGACTGCTGAATGCCTCTGAATCGTTAGAGCAGGCAGAGCACAAGGGGCTTTACAGAATTTTGGGTTATACAAGCTAAATGCCATTGTAAGGGTATGGCATCGAGTTAAAGGGGGGCTTCCTTACCCCTCATATATTTGGGCTGGACTGCCATTTATCTATAGTAACTAGACTTACCAATTTAAGTTAGCTGTGTAGAAAATAAATGAACTGGATCATACTAGAAGTAGAGAAGACCTGCAGTTTACTAGTCCTATTGCCACATTTAATAGTGTTCACTTTTTAAAGCTTTCCCCATTAGTGACAGAAAAACAAGACACTTGATGTCCTTGGAACACTGTTGATAATCTTTGGTGTGACCATGAAATGAGGTTACTTGAGAAGAAAAATGGGCAAAAATGCTTTAACCTTAGCAGTTTCTCCTTTGCTTTTCAAAATCCAATCTTTTTCCTAGTTTTCCATACATTTGAGTTGGGCATGATTATGCATATCTGCTCTCCCCTAAAACGTACTTCAGGTATGAGGAACATGGGACCAGGGTCTTGTCACACCACCCTCTTCCCTTTCTTTGGAGGCCACTGTGGTTGAGAGCCAGGTGTGCCCAGCAACTGGTGGCACAGTGTGACTGCTGTTCCCTAGATCTAACGAGCTCTGGTTTTGAACATTAGGCTGGGCAGAGAGCAATGTCAATCCTCCTCCTCCATGGCCAGCAGCAAAGGCAAGCAGTCCAAATGACAACAGCCCTGCAGCGAAAGGTAATCAGTGTTTCATCCCCCTGAAATGACAGTCCCCTTCCTTTCCACTGGCCTAACACTATTTTCCATATTCCTTTACTAATTTCCATTTGAGCACTTAGGGTTCAAACAGAGGCTACAAGGGTGCGGAGTTTTGCATAATCCTAAGAATTACATTCTGACTTTTTTTCTGGCTTAATGTCCTAATTCATAATTCCTTTTTTCAAATTTAATGAGGAGGAATCAAATATATCTGTCTCCATGTGACTGGGTGCTCCCCAAGACTGGGTAGAAACAGCATAGTAGGAAAGACCCCTGAAGTTTGCTGTCTTTAGCTGAGAATACCACTGCCACCACCAAACGAGGCATTTAATTAGTGCTCCTCGCAAAGAACCGAGTTTCTTAGTTGTTCATGAGATCTATTCTCCTTTGAGACAGGCCCCCAAAGGGAACATCTGTTTGACTGAAGATCTCATCTGTATTTGTGGCTCTCTCTCTTCCTTTGGTTCACACCCACTTTCCCTGTGTTGACCACAGGAAGTTAAAGGAAGTGTCTGTTATCATCAAAAGGCATTCCCATGATGTTCTTTTAGGTGTTGTGCAGATAGTTGCATCTGGTTTTCCCTCCAACAATGGAGGTCTGGGGAATGTGAGGATTGCCCCAAATTATAGTCACCTGACTCTGCACAGCAGGGCCACGCCCACTCAGAGGTTAGGAGGAAGGGGAAGTGAGCATGTAGTGTATTTTCACTGGAGATATCTCTAAGATATCTTGATATTCTCTATCCAGAATAGGCTAATCCTCCTAAATCATTTTGCCCCATACAATTTCCTTGTGCGATCTCCTACATGATTAAAGAAAGACAACTTACTCCCTTTTTTTAGTTGTTTTTTCCCCCACCCCAACCAAGCTATGTTGAGATCTCTCAAGTCTTAGTTTATCACATCAAAATAAACCATGTATTTTGAGGGCTAACTGCACATGGAATTCAATTAGTGTCACATGGTAATAACTTGCATATTACTAACTAGTCTTGCTTGCAGTAACCTATCTCTGTAATAGATGCATTGTTATCTCATTATAAGGTAATATAGCTGCAGGAGATGTTTAAAAAAAGCCAAAGGGAGGGGAATCAGAAGTATAAAGCTATCAGTATACTGTCTTAACATTTCAGTGCCATTTTATTAAAGACCAAAGGCCCTGTTTATGGTGGTGTAATCCCATCACTCTAATATAACCACTCTGAGCAACTTGTCCTCCCAGTATTTTTTGAGATTCTTTTCAGCCAGATGGCAAGCACATTCCTAGCTGCTCTCAGCTTGAAGGAGAACCGGTCAGAGAGACATTTTCTTCATGCTTTTGAAACTCCCCACCTGTTGGAGAAGGAAAAAAGCATGGGTCATCCAAGCCAATGAACTTAGATGCTCATGTGGGATGATTTATATAGAGAGGAATCCCCTACTTACTTAGAAATCACTTGCATCAGGCACTCTTTTGAAAATGTTCTCCTCATCTGGAAAATAATTTGGCTCTATAATGTTGGTATTCAGGAAGTCAGGGCAGGTGTTTCAGGGAAAGAGCAGCTGAGGGGAGTGCTGCAGGGAGGCTGAAGGTTGAGGGCTGTGGGGCGCTTTAGAGCCCATGGGAGAAGGGAAGGCATGTCAAGGGCCTCCTTCCTCTGACAGGAGAGGGGTGAAGGCGGTGACTCTGACAGAAGAGAAGCCCTAAGCGCCAACCCCTTCTGGGCCTGTTGCTTTAAAGCCTGAAAAGAGTGGCTGTAGTATTTCTCTTGACCCAGCAGATTTGAAAAGATTCCTCCAGTGGACACTGGAAGGCACTTTGCTTCCCCAGCCATTCAGTCTGACTTCTGAAATAACTATGATATTTCTTGCTTGTGGTGGAGCGGCAGGGTCTGAAGTTTTAGGCAACTCTGTGGGCTGTGGCCATCTGCTTGGGGTTGGGGTGCAGGGGTGTTAACACAAGAGCTCGTTCTTCACTGAGTTTTAGGCCATAGTTTAGAAATGTTACTCAGCCAACCAACAGGGGAAGATGGAATTCCCTAACTCATTTTAGAGCCAGAGTGTTATGGGATTTGTCTGATTGAGCATCCTCCCTTTTCAAGATGAGCCTGGACCCAACTGCGTGCGGCAGGGCGGAGGTGGGCGTCTGGAAGGTGGGTGTGCTGATGTTTCTTCTTCTCTCCCCAGAGCCTGCCAAGGCTGCCTCGGACCTGACTGCCTGGTTCAGCCTCTTTGCTGACCTCGACCCATTATCAAATCCTGATGCTGTCGGGAAAACCGATAAAGAACATGAATTGCTCAATGCATGAGTCTGCAGCTCCGGGAGGGAGCCCACGTCCCACCCCTCAGCAGCGCACCTGGGGGCTCGCAGATGTATGAAGTGATCAGTATACTGTTTTACTATTTACGTGCCATTTTAATAAAATGAAAGGGTCCAAGGCCCTGTTTATATTGGTATAATTATTTACTCTTATTTGGTATAAAGGGTTTTAGTGTACTCTCTATGTGGACCTAAACAATACAGGATTGTCTAGGAGCGGTTTCCAGGCCGGCCACTCTCCTGCCGACACCCGCATTGTGGCTGCTGATGTGTCACTCAGCTACTGTGAGATCCAAGTTCAGATCATAAACCTACTTAGTGTTAGGTTTAAATATTGTGTCCTACAGCCTCAGAGGCAGCTGGAGGCTAATGAAACTTTAGTGCCTCCTCTTGTACCGCCTGCCTCTGTCCCCCTTTGAGGGGGGCTGCAGGAAGACGCCCCCTTCCTGCCAAGCCACCTTCCAGGGAGCTCTGGACGAAGCTCTGGCCAACCAAAGACTCTGTCCCCCAGCCCTTGCCCAGTGGGCTGTGTGTTCTCACACAGGCAGAAGGGCTGGGCTGGTCTCCGCTCCGTGAACCTTTCTATGGAAAGCAGCCATATCTGCAGATACGTGTCTCCTTTTGTCCTCTCCATGGCTGGAATTCAAAAGCATGTATTTCTGGAGCCCTTTGTGACATTAACTGTTTGGTTTTTTTTTTTTAATTAAACAGAAAAAATATTTGACACGCAAAGTTAATAAATGAGTTTGTTGTGGAGACTCAGTGGGGAGGTGCTTTGGGGGTGAGGGCTGGAGAGGGACAGAGGAGGAGGCTGGGTCCCACCTGCATGAAGCTACTGACGTCACCCCATGCATCCCCCAGATACGGCAGCGCGGGGAGGAGGCCGTGCGCTTCTGTTGGCTTGGGCGGAGCGGGGAGCGGCAGTTTTGCATGTGGGCACATAAGCGGGTCAGACACTCCACCAGTGTTAGACTCCTGAGCCTGCGCCTCTCCTCCCCTCTCGCGTCACCAGTGACATGCTGAGAGGCCACACATATCCGCAGAAACCCATGACACCCCTTTCAGTGAGCCAGTGGCCCTGAGTGGAGGTAGAAGTGATGATTAGCCAGGACACAATGCTACGTGCTCAGCTAGGCCAGGGAAGCCTCTGCTGCGCTCCTGCAGCCTCGGTCCCCAGCTCTGAAAGGGTCTCCAGGGGCCACTTCCTCAAACACACGGGAACACTGGGCTTCCCAGCTCCTTCTGATGCCCCTGCAAAAGCCACCGTCCTCTACAAGACAGCCAGGGGGCTGGAGCCAGGACTGCTGAAGGAGGTCTCCTCGGTGTGTGAGAGACCTGCTGGTGAAACGGGTCTGGGGACTCAGTGAGTTGTGTAGCTCCTGTCGCTCTGCTCAATTCCCGGTCAGCACAGACCGCCCACAGAGTCTAGTTTGTCAGACTCTCACTTAGCAACCCCTCAGCCTGGATTCGTGGTCTTTGAGGCGATCAAGACACAGCCCCAGGGCCCCACCTCGTTGCCCTCCACACATCCACAGGAGGGTTGCTGTACCCTTAAGCCCCGCTCTTGTCTCTGGGCCTGTGCATTTGCTGTGCACTCCACCCAGGACGCCCCCCTCGCCTTATCCTCAGCTGCCATCACAATGCTACCCACCCCTCAGGAGCATTCTCAGTCCCACCTCCTCCACAGGGACTTCTCCAAGTGTAGCCTTTGAGGATTTTCCCTTTGAGGAACTGCCCCTCGTCTCTCCCTGACCATTCCTTTCCTGCCCCTCTCCTGTCTCCCGATCGGAGCATGCATTGTGCTCTGGCTGGCCTTCTAAGGTTGTGCTGTGTGCATCTGCCTGCACCACTAGGTGTTGCAACCCCACTGAACGGGGTCCCTATTTCCCCATATCTTCTGTCTCCCCAGTAATCAGCACCCTCGAGTCACCTTGTAAGCACTGGATTAATGGTTGCTGAATGGTGCTGCCCTGTGTGGAATGCGGATTAAAGACTCATAGTTTCATCCGGGGGTCACGTTTGTTTGCAGCCGTGGAAACCCCCAGCAGCGCAGTAAGGAGCTGAAGCGGGCGCGGCTGACTCCTCCATCGGGGCTGGAGGCCCGGGGAGCTTGGTGGGGGCTAGGGGGCGAGGGCCAGGGGGGTGGGGGGTCTTCTCTGTTCAACGGATCACTTTAAATACTAACAAGTTGCATTTTAAAGTCGATCTGTGGGTGAAGGGGACCCGAGGATTGTGGTGGTTGGACAGGCTTTGCTACAAATAAAAGGAAAGAATTGCACATGGAGGCATTTTTCTCCCCGAATTTTCTTTACATTTTCATTAAAAAAAAAAAAAATTCAATTCCATTTCCCATCTGCAATCCACTTGGCCAGCCTCTTGATCCCTCTTTATAGGCCTGTTTTGATCCGGGCTCACACAAAGCCCCCTCGGCCACCTCTCTGGTTTAAGGAGAAGCAGCTGCTGCCTGATTCTCTTTTAAGCGGCCTGTGTGCCTGGCCAGCCAGGGGCTTCCTTGGGGGGGCCACCTCGAGGCCCCTCCCCAGCCACCCGAGAACGGGCTGCCTCTGCCATGAAGAAGACAAAGGTGCCCCACTCTCTTCACGCCCAGTCTTGCTTCTCCCCATTTTCATCTCATGTCCTGAGGCCGGTCTGAACCACAATTCAGAGAGCACCTACTCCTGAAAACTTTCCTGCCTTTTAGGTGGTCTGCAAGTCTCCCTCCCCTTCTGCCCCTGCCCCAGCCAACACATAAAGAACATTCAAATTTAAGGGAGGGAGCCAGAAACATTCCTATTTCCTCCTTCCTTCCTTCTTTCCCCAGCTGGCACGGGTTTTGGCGCACTTTATAGATTCATTGCCTTCAAAATGTAATTTTAGAAATGTCAAGTTGATTTTGAGTTCTGGGAGAGTGAGAAAAGCACCCGTCAGCTTCAGAATTAGAAATGCACCAACTTAGAAAGAACCAGCACTTTTTGTCGGAGGTTTTTGCCCAAGAAAATGTGATCTGCTCCGAGTTGGCAGCCCTGGGAGCCCTGAGTTGCCAGTGGGCCTGTAGGCGGGGCTCACCGTCATGCTGGGGCCAGTCTTTACTGGGTGTGGGGCCAGGGCTGAGGCCCCCGAAGATGCCCTGTGAGGCCGCCTCGCTGTCTGGGTCAGGACGGCACCTGCCAGAGCGCTCCTGCCTTCTGCCCATGCTTCAGCTCCAAGAGCCTGTTAGCTGAACTCCACGCTTTCCTCTCAGAGACCACTGCAGAGAGACCCCTCCCCAGGGGCTGACTCTGCCTCAGGGCTAACTGTTAGCACTACTGATTTTGCCAGTATATTCAAGTTGCATCTGTCTTTGTGATCAACTAGTGTCCTCCACCCAGGCCATGGCAGTTCATCCTCTGCTTTGATTTAAACCATCTCCCCAGTCCTCTGACTGGCACCACTCAAAGTGCAGTGATGTAGGTTTCTTCAGCTTTGTTGGAAAGTAGATTTCAGCTTGGAGCCAACTCCAAATGATTGGCAACGGCTGCCAAGAATTCTTCATTGAGGAGGATTCTGATGAGTGATGTTTGTGATGGGTATGGGCAGGGAGTGGTGGCAACAATGCTATATATTTACCAACACTGCATTAGACCTTGTCTTTCCCGGGGCTTTTAGAGTTGACTTATTCTTCTTTTTTATTATTTTTTTTAATCAAAAATAACTAGGATTCTGGAACCCTGAGAGAGGAGCACGTATGGATGAGAAAAGCAGAAAGTTCAAAGAACACGTTACTACTGAAAGCTAATTCAACTCAAACTCAACAACAAAAAAGTGGGAGTGGATTTATTTGCTCAGGTAACTGAAAAGTCCAGGGATAGGCTTCAGGCATGGCTGGATCTCGAGGCTCAGGTGATATTCTTAGCAATTGTCCCCTCTTCAGCTCCCAGTTCTGATTTCCTCTGTACTGTTTCATTCCTATAGACTCTTCTCATAAGGAGTCAAAATGGCCATGAGCATCGCCAAAGTCTTGGAATTGAGACTGCCTTGGGTCATGTGTCCGATCTTCAGTCAATTACTAGAATCAAGGGGAGTGGGGGTAGGAAATAGGCTGTTTGCCTAGCTTTTCAGCCTATCCCTGAAGCCTGACCCTCAAGGACTGGGAATGGAGAAAAGATAGTTCCTCGAGGAAAACCAGGGTGCTATTACTAGAGGAAGAGGGAACGAATGCTGGGCAGGAAAGTGCAATAGCGATCCACTCCAGTTTCCATTGGAATGCCTTTGAGGAGACACTTGTGTGTCTTTCCAGAGGGATATGAAACGGGTGGGTTAAAGGACTGGAATGTTTTCCAGAAACCACACGATGGGGGCCCCTTCTGAGGCCACCCCCAGGCACTGGGGATGGAAGGCTTGGCATTCTCAGTGGTTCATTGAGGATACCTACCTTGCAGCTCTCTTATAACTGACTTCGAGGAATTCAAAAGGATCATAGAGCTCTTTGCATCCAACCCACTCACATCTAGATGAGGAAACCAAGGGACCCAGGGGACATAAAAAAACTGTGTTTGTTAGTGGAAAACCAGGACTAGAACCCATGTTGCCCGACTCCTAGGTCAAGGCTTCTTTTACTTCAAGGTGTTCGCTAGAAACTAAGAGCTGAAGAAAAGAATTCAAAGACATACATTCATCATAAGAAAAAAAATTGGTAACTATGTATGGTAACAGATGTTAACTAGACTTATGGTGGTGATCATTTTGCAAAATATACGAATATCGAATTATACCTCAATAAAAAATAAAAACGAACGAAGAAACCAAAGACACGCAAAACTCCTTTAAGAACCAATCTCTCTTTTCTCCTCTCCCAACACCTTCTCTTTATTTTAAGCCAATTATTAAATGCACCCTTTGAGGACAGCATCTAAGACAGTAGTATAGAGCAGTTGGTAAGAGCGTGGGTTCTGAAGCTGGACAAATTTGGGGTCTAGCCGAGGCTCCACCAGCTGTAAGTCATACAGTCTTTCTGAGCTTCTGTTTTCTCATCCACATAATAGGGTTAGTAGCATTCCCTGCCTCATGAAGTTATTTCAGGAACTAAGCAAGTTGATGTCACAAAGACATTAGCATTGTGTGGGCACACTACAGCGTGCCAGTGTGGCCACTAGCATCACAGTTCACTCGCTTGGTAAATGCTATTGAAGTAGGAGTTGGGGGCTGCTCCTTCCCCCAACCTTCCATAGACTCTCCAAGCCCCGTCTGCTCTCTTTATCATTTATTAACTCATTCCTAAATATCACGGGTATAGAGGATGGGACTAGAAAGTCTAATGAATAAGTTGTCCCTGATTTTTCCATAAAGTTGGACAAAACTCTGTGCTGAGACTAGAAGAAATGCAGTGGGTTCTCTGCCAGACAAAAGGGACACGCTGCAAAACTTGCCAATCTTAACGGTATTTTTAAAACAAACCACTAACCAGAACACTGATCAAAAAAAAATTGGGGGGCCAGCCCTGTGGCACAGCGGTTAAGTGCGCGTGCTCCACTGCGGTGGCCCAGGGTTTGCAGGTTCGGATCCTGGGTGTGCACTGATGCACCGCTTGTTAAGCCATGCTGTGGCGGCATCCCATATAAAGTGGAGGAAGATGGAACGGATGTTAGCCCAGGGCCAATCTTCTTCAAGAGAAAAGGGGAGGATTGGCATCAGATGTTAGCTCAGGGCTAGTCCTCCTCACAAAAAAAAAACCAAAAAACTGGGATG